TCCCATTCCTCTTTAAGCACACAATATTACGAAAAAAACTCCTCTTCTTCTTGTTTGGCACTGTAACCGCCTAAGCGATTTTGGCCCAGTCCAACAATGTACGCCAGTCATTTCTTTATATTACAGGTGCTATAAGGTGTCAAGGGTATAATCTTCGAAAAATCAAAAAAATTAAATTTAAAAAAATTTTGAACTGTATTTTAAGTGTTATAGGGGACCTGTAATATAAGTTTGCACAAAAAAATTGTATACCGTTTAAATAAGAGCAAACGGCGGACTACGTCTACATTTTTACTTTTTTAGTTATTTACATATGTACAATACTTAAAAATAAATTTTTACCAAAGGTCCTATTTCGAACTTCGAAGGCCCATATCTCGACTTCGAAGGCTAACTTCGAAAAACGGAGAAATTACTTTTTTTACTTATGACTCAATTTCTGGAAAAAAATTGTTTTGGTCCAATACCCAGAAAAAAGTTGATTTTGCCATATTGCGTAATAAAATAAAATGCCTATCAAACTTGGGCGTACAATATTTTTGATTCTTATTTCCCCCAGCCACTACGTATAGATAATTAATTCTAAATTTTTAGTTTTCCAAGTTGCTGAGATAAGTTCTGAGATGATGAGGTAAAACATAGCTGACGATTCATCCACACTTTAATTTTACAGTTACATATTCCTTTAATTAGTAACCTAAGCACCTCTCTCTTAACTTCTTCACCTTTGTTAATTAATTTTATCTATTCTTAGCCTTACTCTTACTCTGGATAATAATATATTACCGTTAGTTAAAGTCTAAAATAAGTTTCAAATTTGTAATTTAAGTGGTAAATGTGTGAAATGAAAAGACTAAATGTCTTACCGTACATCTGTTATAAATAAATAAATAAAAAATATTTTATTTTAAAACTAAAAGTAAACATTTTTTTCCGAGAGAAGCATTCAATCACCTTAATCTGATGAAATTAAAAAAAAAACAAAAAATAAAAAAAAAATAAATAAAGAAAAACAAAAACAAATAATATACAAAAAAAAATAGAAACGCGAAGTCTAAATTCGTCTTTGGTAAAAAAAAACAAAAAATCTAAACAAAAAAATAAAAAAGTGAAACCTGAATTCGTAATTGATAAAAAAATGAAAATATATGGGTCATTCCATAAAATATTTACACCTCAATATTTTTTTTGGGGTGAAATATATTTTTTTACATTCTTTATTCAAATAATAAGTGTCTTCTTGTTTTCGATAAAGAATGTAAAAAAATATATTTC